AGTGATTAATATTCTACAAGAAGTTAAAAAAATTAAATTTTAATTATCTTGTTGTAAAAAATAATACATATAATAATAATAATAATAATAATAAAATACAATTACTTTTAAAGTTGGCCCTAAAATATCTCCCGATACAAACGCATCAACCGAAACGGAACTTTCGACAATTTCCGGCGGAACTCTAATCGTCCAATCAATTTTATCATAAAAATTTGAACTTTCCCCGCAAATAAATCCAGACTTATTTTCTTCCATTAAAATTCCTTCGTGTTTTACCATCGTTTTTTTTATCACCACATCGCTGGAAAAATTTAAATTGTGATAATAAAAAATTTTACTTATTCGAGTTATTAAGATGAGGAGTTCCTTAATCAAAAACCTTTTTGAAAAATTAACTTTGTTACAGTTTCCTTTAAAATGTAAATCTATTTCTCCTTTAACTGCTATTTCCGCTTCTCCCAATTTGACCGCTTCCAATACGAATCGATGAACTATTTTTGTTTTAGCTTTGATGCAGTAAAAAGCAACTTCGTCAGACTTTGAATTGAAATTTGCCGTAGAAATATACTTTATTTTTATCTAAAAAAAAAAAAAATCTTATCAATATAATTAATTAACAAACAGGAAAAATTTTTTAATTTAAAAAAAAAAAAAACAAGAGTTTACTGGCAGTTCGGTAGATTCGTAATTGAAAACGGAAACAAACATGTGAAATATTTCTCTTTTATGCAATGTATGAGGAATAAAAAAGTGAAGAAAAAAAGGTTGATATGTAGTCAATCTCGAATGTTCGGCAATTCCTAAACCTTTTTCCGATGACAGACAAATTGTATTGGTTAGCCATTCGGTGACGGTGTGTGGAACCTTATAGTCTAATTTTGCTATTCCGGAAGAACTGAAATTTAAAATTTTATATTTTCCTGTAGATTTTTTCTTTTAAAAAAAAAGAAGCCAAATTTAAATTCGGTTCCGATCAAATAAATAATTCCGTAAATATCTTCTTACTCTATATTTATTAAATCCCATATCCAAGTTTCCGGGAAAAAAGTTCTCAGTTCGTAAGCGTAAGGGGATTCCCTTTTATTTGATTCTACCGCGTCTGGAAATTCTTCAGCTTTGAATAATGTTATATTCTCAACCTTATTATCTAAAAAAAAATTTTTTCAATTACGATGTAATAAAAGAACAATGAGAAAAAATTTTTTTTTAAAAATGACATTTACCAAAAACACCCATTCCAGAGTTTTTGGTCGTTACGTTAGCCTGTGAATCTTGGTTTCTGAACGCACACGGTCTAGTTTCTAACTTTAGATCGGTGATGACCAATGCTCCAAAATCCTGGTAAAACGAACCAAGTCAAGGACCTGATCAAAAATTTGGGAATTTATGACTAGAAATATATTGTTGTTTTTAAAAAAAAACTCATCTGATATTCACTGTTTATCTTTTATCTTAAATGAAATTCTCTTAAATAAATATAAAAATGAAGAAATAATAATAATAATAATAAAAACAAATCACATTTAATGTAAATTACATAAAAATTAAAATTTTTTTCTCGTCAAAAAAAAAAAAAAAAAAATCAAAAACTTTTTTTTTTACCTTAAAAGCTTGAAGGGAATCAACAAATCGAGAATCCAGAGGCTTCGGTTCGGATAAAGCTTCCATTTTCCCATCAATAAATTGATTATTCATTTCTAAAAGTTTTTTTTTTTTTTTTTTTAATGTGAAATTAATTATTTATTTAAAAAATTACAATTGCGTACCTTTATTTTGTTGGCAATGTTCGCTCGTGGTTTCGGTGAGAAAATCAGGTTTGTTTGCAAATTTTTCCAATTCTTTAAAAACTTTATCGGAATTTACTTCGTTCAAATTTGAAAACATGTGAACACTTTTATCGGTTATCGAAAGAGCGCAAATTGAATTTTGAAAAGTTTCTATTTGAAAATTATTATTTGATCCGGGAGAAGTAACACCTTTACTCCATTTTGTTTTAACCTGAAAATAAATAAATAATTTTTTTTATTATTAAATAAATTATTTTCCAAAGTATCAAAAAAAGAGTGGAAAATTTATTTAATATAATTCTTACGCGATTCGGTAAACATTTTTCAACGGGTATTAAAAATGTATCGGCTACTACTTCTCCATCTTTTGTTATGAAATATATTATTACATTAGCATAAGGAGACATTAAAGAAGATATAAATATTTCAAATTCGAATTGTTTAACATTTTTTAAATTTCCTTCATTTAAAATACTAATTCCTTCTTCAACTTCATATAATTTTGCATCAGCAGAAAACTTATCAAGAGTTCCTGCAGACAAAATAACACCTCTAGATTTAACCTGAAAAAAAAAAAATTAAGGTTCAATAATACACGCAACTATAATGCCTTGATTCTAAGGAAAATAAATTGACCAATAACTTACCAAATAATGAAATTTCACATCGTTATCGGATGAAGTATATAAAACTTTAAATTTTCCATTCTGGTTACACGTGAACTTGTCCGTTGTAAGTTTTTCTATTTGTAAATAACTTCCGGATGGTGAGTACCAAGGAACCAAACTCAATTTTGTTTCTTCCACTTTTGTCAATAAATTATCTTTAGAATTTCGTACCTAAATATAATTTTTTATGTGTTAATTTTAATTGTTGTGTCACGTGAAAAACTAATAGAAAAAGAAAATACATACTTTTATTGAAATTCTAAAATTTTTTTCATCTGAAATATTTATAGGAGAAATAAGAAATTTTGATGTCCCGTTTTTTAAAAATAATTCTTTGCAATTGATTATTTCGTTTGAATCCAAGCAGACGATTAATTGTTCTCGACTTAGTGATGCCATTTTCATCATGACCTGAAATATATTCACATATATATATTTTATCTTAATTTGTTGTATTCTCAATTATTACTAAAACATACCTTTCCAGTAAATGGTAATCCTGGTTTGAATTTTTTCTTTACCGTATCCAAAGAAAATTCAGGATAATTACTAAATTTAGAATTTCTTATATTTATTTTCGAAAAAGCTTTTCCTCTTAAATAAGTTCCATCTTCGGTTACGGTTGCATTTATTATAAGACTGTGAGCAAAATTTGAAGGATTCTTTAAAGAAATTTCATGTTGCAAGCAGCCATCAACACCCAGCCTCAGGTTTTGTGTAACGGAAGATGCTTTTTCTTGACAATAATAAGAAAAGGTACACTTTATGAAATATTGGAGAATGACATTGCCGTGTACAGGCTCACCAAAATGATACCTTTAATAATTATTTAATTTCCAATTAAAAACGAAATTAATTATTTTAAAAAAAAAAAAATTAAACGTATTAAAATCTTACTTGGCGCAAATGGTTAAATTAGCCGTGTTCGTTATATATTCCGGAGATTTAATCAAAACCGAAAATTTAGGTAAAATGTAATTTTCGACGAAAAAATTTTTTACAATGACGTCACTATTTTTTTTTTTCATTTTTATGGACCATTTTCCGAAAATCGGTTCTTTAGAGAGTTGAAACGTTTTATTTATGATTCCTTTACTGTTGAATTCATTCAACCATTGCGTCAAATGAATCCCACTGGGATTTTCAATCCATATTTTATCGATCTGAAAACAATTATTTATTTATATATTTAATTATTTGGGCTTTTTTTTTTAAATTTCAATACATTTTTCAATTACTTACCGGGTCGTTATCTGGTTTCAAATCAGATTTTAAAGTAAATATTCTAAATTGAACAAGTTGACCGCCGTTATAAAGAGGCTTATCCGTTTGGATAAACGTAATATCCGGATTCGTTTCAATCGAAATATGTTGCACATAATTAATATTTAAATCACCTTCTGTTTTTAAACGAACTGTCAACTGCAAACGTCCTTTTTTTACTTTTGTACGAGGCATAGAAATTTTAAAACATTTTCCATCTGTAAAAAAAAATTTGTTTTAATGAACACATTATTAATTAATTGAAAAAAAAAAAAAAAAAAAGAAAAAAATTAATAATGGGATAATTGAAGTACTTTTCTTGAAGGCAAACTAGAAATTTAGTTGTTTTCATTATAAATTACACGAATACTAATTTTTATAAATAAATTCTTACTGAATTGAAAAAATAAAAAAAATAATAATAATAATTATGTTCAATTAAAATTGAGATTATAAATTAATAAATTTTCATTTTTAACCTATAAAATTTAAAAAAAATATAAAATATACGTAAATGATGAGATTTACCATAATCAAATTCTGTTATTTTTTCAACAGCCAACGCAATTTCTATATCTTCTTTCAACTGTAGTATTGCAACTTTAACTTCCGCAACGTTAACATCATTTTTAAATGAGATACAAACATTTTCATCGTGTCCAGATAAAAATATTTTAGGTGCAGTAAAAATAAATCCTCTGAAATTTATATTTTTACAAAAATTTTCAAGTTTACACAAGTAGATGTATATTTTAAAGAATGAATTTTTTAATATTAATTACCCATAGACAACTGACGTCCAAGTTTGGCAAAGTATAAAAAGTTTTAAAAATCCTAATTTGTTCATTTTTTAATACACAAAATTTTTTTTAAAAAATTAATTTTATGCAACAAATTTTTACAAACTGTCTTTTAATAATAATTATCGATTGATGAAAAAACGAACTTTGACATTTTTTTATCGTCAATCTATTTATTATTATTATTATTATTAATCAATTGTGAAAATAAAATCCAATTCATTGAGGTCAATCAAATAATTTTTTTTTTTTTTATAATATCTTCCTAAAAATATAATATTCCTAAATAATTAATATTAATATTATATTTTTTTTATTTACTCAAATATAAATTTTTTGAAAATACTGAAAAGTTTTTTTTAATAATATTTTAACAAATAAAAAATAATTTTATAATAAATAAAAAAAAAATTATAAATAAAAAATTCAAACCTAATATTGTGTAGATCTTTATTTAATCAAATAATTATTGTATCAGTCCAATAACAATAGGTCAAAGTGTATAAATATAATTTGTTCTTGAATACACTCGTCCTGATTTTTTTTTTTTAATGATCCATCCGTAAAATAATTTATAAATATAAAAAAATAAAAAAATATTTTATTAACACACACAGAATAATATTTGTAACTAACGCAAAGATGAAGCAAGAGAGGAAATGTGTAATTACGATGATGATGATGATGATGATGAATTAAATGATTATTATATATAGACCATGCATAATTGTGCAACTTACCTCAGCCTAAAATTATTTCTCTAATTGAAAAAACTCAAATTAATCTGGAAATAAAAAATAAGTTTAAAAAATTTTTTTAAAAAATGCAAAAAAAAAAAATATTCACTGCCTTTAAGTCTTAAATGCTAATGTCCAGAGGTCGTTTTTTTTTTTTTTTTAAATTAACGATTTATCTCGTTAAGAGCATGACCGTGACCTTCCATGCCTTACAACCTCATAATTTAAAAAAAAAAAAAAACAAAAATCTTCGAGTTTTCATTTTCTCATCTAGGTAGATAATACTAAACAGGAAGATTTTCCAACTCGTTCTTTGTAAATATAGATGCAGGTGTAAATGTATATTTGAAGGGCGTTAAAATGTAGTTTTTACCTGTTTTTGTAAAACAACAACAAAAAATTTAATCGATTAAAAATTTTTATACAAAAATTGATTTACACAAACTTTATTAACTTGAAAATTATTCAATAAAATTCTATACAAATATTTTTAACTCTTTACAAATAATAATAACTCACCAGCGTGTTTCAAATAACGTTTACACGTATATTAACTTTCAAATTAAAAAAAAATAAAAATAAATGAAAACAATAAAATTAAATTTAAAATTTACCTTAAAACTCCAGATGATTTATGAATGAATTCATATTCAAATAAATTTTAAAAAATTATAATACTATATTAAAAAAAATACTGATTTTTAAAATTTTTCAACTTCATTCGAACAATTTATGCAGATATTAAAAAACTTTAAATTCTAAATTAAAAATCATTTTTCAATTAGAAAAATATTAATAATAATAATAATAGAAAAAATAAAACTTTTTTTTCCCAAAATCTTGCTTTATGGACTTATTGGCAAAGGTCAAAACTATGACTCAATATTATTTTCTTTTTTATTTGTTGGCCGTTTCTTTTTAAAACAATAATTAAAAAATGCACATTATCTGCATACTGTTTAATAATAATTATTTATTTAATTAGTTTTCAAAATCTTTTAACCTAAAAATATATAAAATAATAATAAATTAATAAACTTAATTTTGATAAATAAATAAATTAGGACTTATTATTTATAAAAAAAAATTAAAAAAACCTGGAATGAAATGCCGGAGTAAATAACAGCCTTTTCCCCGTTGATTTATATATTTCTCTTTTGACTATTTCTCTTGGAATATGTTCTGGAGGTGGTATTATTGATATTAAATACGTTACAAATTCTTCGGGAAAATCAATAAGAAGAAAACAAATTAATCTGGATAACTGTAATTCAAATTTTTTTTTTTTTTTTTATTAGTATTTTAAAATCACAGGTACTCCATTCGTTATTATTAGAATCATTATTATAATCATTGACGATTAAAAACGATTGAAAATACCATTTATTCCTTTAATTTTATATACATAAACATTATAATCCTACCCTTAAATATTCATCTAGACCTTGATCAGATTGATATATGTGTAACAATTGAATAATAGTTCTGGGTATTTCTAAATTGTCTCTGTAGTAGTTCTTTAAAATAACCAAGAAAGACACAAAACCTTCCAAATCTTCTTTTGTAGGAATGGCTCCTTTCACAACTAAAAATTAAAATTTTTAAAATTATTCTTCAATACAATTAATTACAATATAAATTAACAATGTTAATTATTAATATTACAATAAACCTGCCAACAAGTACGGTTTAAAAATTAAAAAAAAAAAAAAAAAAATTGTCTACAAAATATTTCTTAATATTTTTTTTTATGGGATAAAAAAAAAAAAGAAAAGAAAAACATCTGTTTTTAAGAGGTTTAATCTTTTTTTCAAATATGTGTATATAAGGGCTCCAGATGATTATTGAAAATTTAGTTTAATTCCACTCTGCAAAATGTTAACTTACTGTGATGGCAGTTTGATAAAGTGCTTAATTTTCATTGTTTTTTTGTGCCAAGTTTTTTCAGCCTCAAATATTGACAAAAATGAGGAAACAATCAAAAAAATATTTGGTGGTAAGCAATTATTTAATTTTTTTTTTATTAATCTAAATTAAATATTACCTTTTATTTGATACTGCTTTGAATTATTCATTATTAAATATTCACTATTTTATTTTTTTTTTTTTTTTATTTGTATCACAAAAACTCTTCAACAACGTTTTTCATTTATTCGCCTTAGTATAAAAAATTTATATTAATTTTAAAATCTCTATTCTTTTTTTTTAAAACTTTTTAATGAAAAATAGAATATTGAGTACAGTTGAAATTTCATTCGCTCCTTATTAAAAAAAAAAAAAGGAACTGATTTTTTTTTGTATTCATTAACTGTAAAATTTTATGAATAAAATTGTAAGAAAATGGCAATTTTAACGTTTTTTCTTTCAGAAACGAAACGCGATCTACCTTCAGGAAATGGTATGGTCGCTGTGCCTTTAACAAAATCATCGTATTTTAATCCTTTTTTTGATTATCCCTTTTTTCCCAAATCTAGTGTCAACAACGTTTTTGCCAAGCCTTCAGATTTTTCCTTAACGCGAACTGGTAAACCCACTTTTTCATCATCAAGAGAAATGTTTCTAAATGGGGTTGAACCCGTTGATACTTTTTTTAAAACGAAAAAAGAAAAATTTTTGAATAATTTATCAAATGCTTATGGAAGTCCTGCAGGAGGAATGTATGAAATTTTTAAGAGAAGCGCTTTGTCAGATGATTCATCTACCGAAACACCAATTTTGGACTCATCGTATTTTATTAAAAAAAAATATGATTTTATGAAAACTTTATTCAAAACTCTAAATGCTACAGCTAGTCCTGAAACGGATAAAACACAGGAAACCGGGGATTTAACGCCTGTAACTACTAAACCTACAATTGTTCCTCCAGATTTTTGGTTTCCTTTTGTTAAGCTACCCAAGACTCCAAAACCTCCTAAACCAACGAAACCACCTAAAGCCAAAAAAGTACTAAAAGATATGTTGGATACTCTTCTTTTGCAATCTTTATTAAGTGATTTGGAAAGTAACATGAAAGATACGACTTTGAGCAAACGTAGTATACTTGATTCTGAACCAAGTAATAAATTAGTTAATAAAAAAACTAAATCTAAAAGTAAAACATCAGAAGTTTCTTCTGAAAAATCATACGATTGTATTGATAAGTTGATAAAAATTTTAAATAGTACTACAGATGACAGTTTTTTCACTGATTTAACGACGACTGTTTCACCAACGAGTAAATCAAAGTTGAAAGAAATGGATTATGTTGCAAAACTAGATGAATTTTTTGATTTTTTGATAAAAGCTTTTAATGAAACGGCAGAGGCTCAAAAATACGCAGATAAATCCGGAAAAAGTAAAAGTAGTACGGGGAAAAAATTCAAAAGATCAACTTTTCTTGACGAGTTACTTCATAGAGTTTCAACACCAGCCCCGACAACTGTAAAACCAACGGAATATTTAGAAAAAACAAATTTTGATGACGTAAAAGAATTTATTGTAGAATGTTGTTGTAGTTTTGATAAAGGGAAATTTCCCGAATCCGAAAAACCTACCAGATCGATATTATTTAATCCATTAGGGTTTAATTACATGATCCCGCAGTATCTCTATGCTGCCAAAATGAATATGTACTTAGACAAACTTACCGATGCCTTAAATGCCGCGAATTCTAATAGCAAACCAGACGTGGCTTCAGATTTCGATAAGAGAAGCTCGGATTTCGTACCAGAAAGCTTAGCAAAATTTTCTTTCAAAGAGGAAGCCATTGATATGGTTATTAATGAATTAAGCGACCTAAAAAACAGTATGATTGTAGCTTTTACTGATGCAATTAAAGCTCAAAAAGATGCAATGTCATCAACCCTACCTTATTATGGCCCTACTGGTAAAACTTTTAAAAAACCATGGGGCCCTAAACCCATGCCAACAGTAGATCCTGTAGCACCTGTTCAAAAACAAATTGATGTTTTAAGTGAAATTTTTGATAAATTAGTTAAAGTAGAAAAGATTTTAATTTTCACGAATGAGCCTGAAAATAATTCTAAATTGTTAAGTAATTTAACTGAAATTTTTAATTCACCTTCACCTTCAAACATGGCTCATCAATTTAAAATTTCACCGACTGAACCCACGGAAAATCCAAATAATCCAGCCTTCTTTTTATCTAAAACTAGAGAATATTTGCAAAATTTGTACGGCGTTAAAAATGATACATAAATTATGAGTAAATTATTAAAACTTAATAAAATGGAGAAGAAAAAAAAATGCTAAAATTAATTTTAGTTTGATTTATACTGATTATATTTACTTAAAGTTTAAATTTTTATACTTGTACCCAATAATTTTGTGCAAATCGTTTATATTTCACAATAAAATAAACTAATAATTGTTTATAATTATTTAATAATTAAACAATTTCGTTATAAAAGCCTAAATTTTCTTACCTTAAAATAATTTCAAAAACGTCAATGAATAATTTTGCATTAGTTTTGAGGGATATCCTGCATCAACAGGATTGTGATGATCTGAACACAATTCTTTGCTTGCTGGGTATCTGTCGAGGCTAAAACTACGCTTTTTTTCAATAAAAAAAATACTTTTAAGTTAACACGAAATGGAAAATAATTTTAAAAAATTTTTACAGTGCCTGCTTAACTACGTTATAGCGGAGGCTGCGACAACTTGAAATAAATATGGATAACACCTAAATATAAAAAAAAAAAGTTTTCGCTTAGCGATGTAAAAGATTTTGAATGACTTTTTAAATTTATTTTCATTATGAGCAAGTCATGGAAATATTTTTTGTTTTTACTGTGGCTCTCGTATCTTTTTATTTGCGGCATACTTTTATTTACAAGGGGATTTCTTTTAAATCGGCAAACCTTGCTTCAAAAATCAACATGTATTGAAAATTTAGATTGTAGTAGATTTCAAAAGTTATCAAGGGAAGCTCCTTCTCTTGAAAACACTCAGCTGTATTTAGAATGTATGGATAAAAATCAGCTAAAATTACGAGAAAACACAAAAAAACAATGTACAGAATCCAGTAAAAAAGTTGTTCTTCTCATCATAGATGCTTTAAGATATGACTTTGCTCAATATAATAGTTCTATAAATAATGATAATTTACTACCTTTTCAAAACCGTTTAACAATTATCAATGAGTTACTAACCACTTTGCCAAACAATTCACTTTTGTATAAATTCATTGCAAATCCACCTACAACGACCATGCAACGATTGAAGGGTCTCACCACAGGAAGCCTTCCAACATTTATAGATATAGGTTCAAATTTTGCGACTCCGGAAATTAATGAAGACAATATAATAGATCAACTTTTAGACCAGAACAAAAATGTGATTTTTATGGGTGATGATACATGGACTTCTCTTTATCCTGGAAGATTTAAAAGGCAATATCCCTATCCATCTTTTAATGTTTGGGACTTGGATACAGTAGATACTGGAATTATGAATCATTTAAAACCTGAACTACAAGAAAAGGACTGGAGTTTACTTATCGCTCATTTCTTAGGAGTTGACCATTGTGGGCACAAATACGGACCCTACCACTCAGAAATGACTAGAAAATTAAAGCAAATGAATGAAGTAATTAAGTAAGTATTAGCCAAAATTAGTAAAACATTAATAAAATAATAAAAAACTTAAGTAATACATATTTATATTTTATTATTTCAGAAGTGTTGTTGACACCATAGATGAAAATACAATATTATTTGTTATTGGTGATCATGGAATGACTTCCAGTGGAGATCATGGAGGAGAGAGTAGTGACGAAGTTACATCTGCTTTGTTTGTTTATTCACCATTGCCTTTTCTTTCAAAAAATCATGAACTAGAAACAGAATCAGTTTATCAAGTTGATCTTGTTCCAACTCTAGCTGCAACTCTAGGTTTTGCTATGCCTTTTTCTAATTTAGGAAAAGTAATTTTATCAGCTTTACCCAGTGATTTTCAATTAAGTGAACAGTCATCCGAATCAGAAATCCAATATGCTCTGAATATTTTATCCATAAACATTGAACAAATTATGCTTTATGTTAATACTTATTCTACTCAAATACATCCTTTTTCTAAAGGAAAAATTTCAAATTTACTAGAAAAATTTCATTCATTAAAATCAAAACTAAGCACAGTAAACAATTATAAAAGTTTTAAAGTTTATCATAAATCAGTCATAGAATTTCTTAATTTTGTAAGAGAATTATGTGAGGAAGTGTGGGTGCAATTTGATTCCTTTTCCATGTCTAGAGGACTTGTTTTAACATTTTTACTGGTAGCATTCACATTTTTTATTGTTGAAGGAATTCCTTGCACTCACTTTAATGCTGTACTTGATGGATATTTTTTATGGTTTGCCTACGGCTCAGCATTTTCATGTGTAATAATGAGTACAGTTTTACAATATTTTAAAACAGTAGATGATATGTTTCTATTGACTTATGTTTCTACTTTAAGTATATCAATGTTAATAATGGCTGTTGTGGTGGTACAAAATTGGGATGAAATCACAATGCTGTGGTTTAATACCTACAGAAATCGGGATTGGTTGAACATTTTCACTAGATTTATACATCTTTGTTCGTTACTTTTAATGTTTTCAAACAGTTTTGTTGTAGAAGAAGGAACTGTTTTGTTGTTCATGCTAAACACAGTAGTTTGGCTTATTGTTTTTAACATAAGTGTGCAAGCCACTGAAAATGCTAAAAACAAAACTGAAAAAAATTACTGGTTTTCAAAAATTATAAATCATCCAAAATTCAAACCATTAATTTTAATTTTAATTTTTACTCTTTTGCTGAAAGTGTCACAAAGTTATTGGAGGTAATAATAATAATAATTTCTATTGTTTATTAAATAATTTTTTTCTTAATTTTGAATTTTTTATTGTTAAATTTTTAATTGTTTTCACTATTATATATAATATAAATTATTTTTTTAGATGTCGAGAAGAACAGAAATGGTGTATTGTAGCCACAGATAGTATTAGATCAGCATTTAAATCGGGAAATGGAAATTTTGGTGCTCTTACAACATTAATCGTCTTGGCACTTTTTGTTTCAATAATTCGAATTTGGCTGAGGAGTTGTGGAAACTTAGTTGGATTTTCAATCACAATTATTTTGGTTCGATATGCTCCTAGTGTTATTGTAGTTTGTTTAGGCGGTTTCTGGGTGTTGCTGGGATTGCCAAAAGAGGCTAGAAGCAAAATTATTGTTCCTTGGCAACTTCAAATATTACCATGGACGGTATTCGCTCTTATAGGGATAACTATTTTCTTCTTGTTCCTGCAACCAATATGTGTGTATGTCTTAGAAAACAAATCAGATGTATTATCTGTTTATGGGAATGAAAATATTATACCACAAATTTTTCATCAGGTAACAAATACTTGTATAAGATAAATAATAAACTTTTAACGAAAACATAAAAATCTTTTTTTAAAATTTTTTTAGGTAAAAAAAGTTTTTCATAATTCAGACGATTCTGAAGGTAGTAGTACTACTAAAAATAAAACGACATTAGTATATGGCTTGGCGACAGCTTACAGCTCTGTGTTTGTGGTATTAGGAGAATTTATATCATTATTTATCATGCTACTATTAGGAGATACTTTAGCATGTTCAGTGGTTTTAATGTTTGCTGTCATAGGAGTATTACTTACAATTTTAGCATATTCTCGTCTTGAGGGTGCTTTAATTTCAAGTGAGTTAAAATTTACAAATGAGATTAATATATTTTTTTTGAATTGTTTATGAATGATTGTAATTTACATTTCAGATCAATTGTTTCATGTACCTTGGTCTTACGTATTAAGTTGGGGATTAATGTCATCTTATTTTTTTTATGGAACCGGTCATCAACCAACATTTTCTGGTATATATTGGAATGCAGCTTTCATTGGTACGAATGGTCAGTTTTCATCTAATATTATACCTGGACTATTAGTTGGTAAATTTTATTTTTTTTTTTAATAAGGCATTCATATAAAATTTAATTTTTAAAATTAAATCTGGTTTTTAGATTTGAAAATTTTCTAATTAATCGGTTTGATCTTTTTTCAGGTGTTAATACATTTAGTTCATATATTATCAGTGGTCTATTACTTCCATCGATATTGATAGCACCTTTTACTTTATCTGTAATGTTACCAAAATGGTACAGGTCATCGATGCGTTTTTTAGGTAAAGATATTAGAAAAAGAGGAAAAATGGAATTCATTGAAGGAGACATTTGTTTACACGACAGAAAAGATTTGACTCAGTATGCACTATTAAAACTTTCAACCAAGTATATATTATTTCACGGAACACGAGTAAGTGTTTGATTATTTTTTTTTGTTAAATTTAATTTGTACATTAAAATGCTCGTCTAAGGCTTTTCTCATTTCAATATTTTTAGATTTTTTCATGCATGTTAGCAGCAGCAGTTCATTGCAGGCACTTGATGGTATGGATGGTTTTTACACCAAAATTTATTTTCGAGGGAATTAGTTTCATTGTGTCATTAGCTTCTGTACTTTTAGGATATTTATTTTTTATTAGAATATCATCAAAATTAGATCATCTCGTTAATTCATTGTTAAAAAAATATGAAAATTAATATTTGTATTTTTTACATTTGTAATTAATAGTATTTATAATTAAAACCAACACTGTATGTAATTAATAGATCTTTAAATTATTTTTTAGTTATGTGTACATTTAAAAAAAAAAAAGTTTATTTTCATTTCTTCCTTTAAAAAATTTTTTAAAAATGATTTAATTTCATTTGATCAACTTAGTACTATCTTAAAATATAATTTTAAATACTTAAAACTTAATTTGTTAAAAATTAATTTACAATAGTAATTGAAGAAAAATCAACAAACAAAATTAAATCTTTTAATAATTTAAAATTTGGCGCTACTCCTGCACGCACTAGTAGTAGGTAATCAACACAACTGTAATCCATAATAGTAAATCATACACTTGTTATTATTATGGTAATATATTAATATTATTAAGAAAAAAACGAGTTTATCAAAAATTGTTTTTATAAAAAACAACAATGTCGTATCCTATGAAAGGGAATTTTCGTGTTAAAAAAATTTGGAATAATTTTAATAATCGCCAAGCAAAAATTTTTCAGAAGTTAATGGTTAAAGACAAAACTAAAGGGTTTGTTTGTTTTTTTTTACTATTTTCTTATTTTTAAATTTTTGTCAATAAAATTGACTTTTAAATTATTTTTTTTTACAACAGTTTGAACTCACTTAATTTTATCTTTTAAAAAATATTTGAATAATTAACATTTAATACATTATTTTATAGGTTAAAAAATGTTAACAATTCTAACCAATCAGTTAAAATTGGTAATTTATCAATGGAAGATTCTAAAATACCTTCAAAAAGAGTATCTGTATTAAACAAAACTTTTATGCAAAATATTAGTGCCATAATGACAAGTGGAAATCACTCGTCAAAACTGTTAGGTTTAGGAATAGAAATAACTAAGGTAAGTTAAAAAAAAATCTTAATTGTGAAAAAATTTAAACTATTTATATATAAATAACTTTGTTTTAAAATTTACAGGTTCAAATAAGTAATAATTTTAAATTTGCTTCTATATATTGGACTTCACCGAAAAAAAATCATGAAATTACAGCGACAATTTTAGAAAATGCAGCTAACGAGTTAACACATGAAATAGTTGCCTCGAGAATTATGGGAAAATGCCCTAAAATTCAATTTGTGAGAGACACTTATTTTGAAAATATGATGAATGTCAATACTATATTAGATAATTTAAAAATAAATGAAACCATAGAAAACACTGCTGAGGTTAAGGCAGTAAAATCGGTATGTATTCAACCTGATTTCATATTTACAAAACATCTTAAAAGTTTTGTTATTGTTTAATACTATAAAACTACTACTTTCATTTCGAATCAAAAATTGTTTAACTTAATTAATTGCAATGAGGGTTTTACATTAAATTCAGTATTAAAATATCGAGAAGAAAAAAGACATTCATAAATTTTTAATACCATTCTTTTATTTTAGCCTCCTGCCGAGTTTCCTAAAATGAGACATAATGTGTTAGGTCTTGACCATGCAGCATACACCCAAAGAATTCAAGCGATAAGTATTAGAAAAAAATTTACTTCTAGGGAGTTGAATGATGATAATAATAATAATATTGAAAAATTGAAAAAAATTGATAAATTAATACCATTCAACAAACAAATTTATGAAAAATTTTATAAAAATAACACTATTTGGCAGAAAAAACTAAATAAAAGAAGAAACAATTTAGAAATAACTGAAAAAATTAATGATAGTAATAATTGTGATTATGATTATGATTATGATTATGATGAAGATAATAATTTCGATGAAAATTTTAATGATTTTCATGAAAATAAATAAAGTGTTATTTATATATGTAGTGTAATACAGCATTTCAGTTTTTGATGACACCAAAAATTATTTTAATTTCATTTGATGAGTTGCATAGTAAACTTTTATTTTATTTAAAAAAAAAAAAAACTGTATTAAAGTATAACTTGTTAAGTATAAAAGAACAAAATCAAAAAATTAAATGTATTTGCATCGGCCGGGAATCGAACCCGGGCCGCCCGCGTGGCAGGCGAGCATTCTACCACTGAACCACCGATGCTTACATATACGTGATTGCGAAAAACACTTGACCACTTTTTATTTTCTATTAATTAAAAATTTATTTATTACTTTTTAAAAAAAATTACTTATATTTATTTCATTTTTTCTTTTCCTTTAAAATCCCTTTAATTACTTTTAAAAAATTATATATTGTAAATAAAATAAATTATTTTAAAAGTGTTATAAATTTTATTGCAGTAACTACCATTCATTTTTTTTGTATCCTAATCTAAATTTTTCACCATTTTTTTGAGACCTAAAAATTAATTTTTTAATAAATTTTTAACGAGTTCTATTTATATTAATCAACAATAATTTTTTTACTTTGTTCAGAAAACAAAAAAAATAAATTTTAAAAATTGTGTGCTGTCAGGATGGAAAAAAAATTATAATCTAAACTTAATAATCGCAACAATACAAAAAACTTATTAAAGCAAATATATTTTATTATAAAAAACAAAAAAATTAATAATAAAATCTAATTATTCTATTTAAAAAAAATTTGGCATCACAATAGTTTTTTTTAAATGAAAAACAAATAATTTTTTCATTATTAAATTTAATTATCGTCCTAATTAAAAAATATTCTAGCATGCTAATTTTAAATAAAACAAAATAAAATAACAATATTATTATTTTTTTGTACTTTTACAATAAAATTAACCGAAAAAAAAAAAACAAAAACAAAACTATAAATAATTAGCATTTCAATTAAAGGTTACTTTAGCTTTAATAACCTTTTTTTTTTCTTCCATGCATTATTAAAATTTAAGAAAAAAATAACTAGTAAAAAATAAAAATTAGTCAAAATTATAATTAATCACAACCCATCAAATTGATAACTTTTTTTATATATAAAATTGTCATTATAAAAAAAATAATAATGTAATACAGGAACAAATAAACCATGGAACATTACCATTCTTCATCTTCGAAAGCTTCTTCTTTGGCACTTCCAAGATTATTCTATCAAAAAAAATTTATTTATGTAAACAAAAATTACTTTAGAATTACTTAAAAAAAAAAAAAAATTAAAATAAAAATAATTACTCTGTAGTCACTTCCACCAAAATTCGATGTACCGAATCCAATCTCGGTTTCTTTAAATTCAAGAAGAAAATCAGGTATTTCTTGACCGGCTTGACTCAAAATTTTTACCAGAGCTGGGGCTAAATGAGAATCGCATAAAGGATCGTAAAAACTTGTTGCAAGACCTCTGTTACCCACTCTACCTGTTCTACCTATTCTATGCACGTATTCATCAATTGTTTTCGGTAAGTCAAAATTCACAACGTGAGCAACATTTTTGATATCTGTAAAAAATTTCCAATCATAATAAAATTAAAATACAAAAAAAAAAAAAATATTGATTTTTATCAACATCTTGTTATTTATACCCAATCCTCTTGCTGCTACACTCGTAGCAACTAAAATATCCATTTTTCCAGTTTTAAAATCTCTTAAAGCTTCTTCTCTTTCTCTTTGGTCTCTGTCACCGTGAATGGAAGTAGCCGGAAAATTTTTTTCACACAGAAACGTGGCTATAAAATCAGTTGTTCGCTTTTGTTCAACAAAAACTAAACATTTCGAACTTCCATTCGATTCCAATAACTCAATAAGTTTATTTCTTTTTTGAAATTTCGAAACGGAAAAAAATTTTTGTACAACATCTGAACATGCTCCCCCAACAATTCCAACTACTACGAATAAATAATTATTAAGAAATGTTTTGGCTAAGTGTTGAACTTCACTAGGAAATGTCGCTGAAAACATTAATGTTTGTCTCTGGCTCTGAAATAAAATAAAATAAAATTAAATTAAATTAAAGGGTTTTTGGTTTTTTTTTTAATGTATGCATTTCAACTCACTGATGATTTCATTGTAGGATGATTGATCATTTTTTTTATTTCTGAAATAAATCCCATATCCAACATTCTATCCGCTTCATCAAGAATTAAAAATTCAGTCATGGAAAAGTCAATTATACCTCGCTGAACAAAATCAAGCAATCGACCAGGAGTGGCTACTAAAATATTGCAACCATTCTAAAATTAAAATTACTTATATTAATTTATAACTTATAAAAAAAATGGCTTAAAAGTTTTAATTTTAAATAATATTACTTTTATTTTTTCAACTTGATGAAAAACAGCTGTTCCTCCATAAGTTAAAGCAACTTTTAAAAAAGTTCCTCTGGAAAATTTTCTGGCTTCTTCAAAAATTTGAATAGTTAATTCCCTCGTGGGAGTCATTATAATTACTTCAGGTGTGCAAAAGGAACTTTTTGACATGATTTGATTTTTTTCTAATAGTTTGTTTATAATAGGAATTAAAAATGCTGCCTAAAATATTTAAAGCACTTTATCACATAATTATGATGAATTTCTACACAAATAAATTTTTTTATGGCAAACCTACCGTTTTTCCAGATCCCGTTTGAGCGCATCCCATCAAGTCTCTACCACTCATTATTATCGGAATGCAATGCTTCTGAATTGGAGTAGGTTTGTGGTATTGACATTTATTTATTAGATTAATCAAAGTCGAACATAATCCAGCTTCGTTGAAAGAGTTAATGGATTTAGGAGGATTTTTCCCAGAGACTTTTACTTCAATGTCATCATACTTTTCAAAATTAATTCCGGATGATATATGATTTCCAAATATTTCATTATCATCTTCAGTAGGATCATCAGGAATGTATGTAGATTTGGGTTTAATTAACTTATTTTTCTCTTTGTCTGGTTTAAAACCTGCAAATATTGAAAATTTATTGAAATGAGTACTAAGCATTACATAATCTAAATTTGCTTATAATTTTTTATTAATGTATATATAAAGCTCTTACTATCTTGATTACTAGTTTTAAAATTATAAAAATTCTCTTCTTCGTCATGATCAAACTTATTACTATTAGAAGTAAAATTATCTTGACTTTTCTTTCCAACTTTGGCCTGAAATTGTTTGTGAGCATTTTTAGTTATAAATCCACGACCCCTACCACCGAAAACTTTGCCAGTTTCTTCAATAGCTGAATATTCATTATCCCAATCTTCCATTCCTAATGAAATAAATTTTTAATATAAAATTTATAAATTTAAAGTAGAAAATAATTTAGATAGTAAAGCAACATATCTAATTCACTCAAAAAAATTTTAAATGCTTTTAAACGAACTGACATAATAGTTGTTCAATTTAAAAACCGAATTTAAACTACTTGTCTATCTTTAAAAATAGTTTTCGTAACATGAATAATAATGTTTAATTGAAAAATTTAATCATTATGTAAAGTAAATATCAGCAGTAAAATATTAACAAGCAGTAAGAAGAAGTACATAGCCATTTTTCAACAAAGTTACAAAAAGGATCAATCGTAAGTAGTTAGTAACTTAATATAATATATGCTTAAAGTATTTTTAAGACAATTTTTAAATTTGGCTTGCTAGTCTAAACATGTTGAAAGAATCCAAAAGCCTTCCTTATTTTATTTATTATTACCATTAATTAAATTTAAAATAAATAACCTAATGCAGTATTAGCTTCCCACAGTTCAATAATTTTAATATTTTCAAAATGAGCATTTTTTATGTCAATAATTAATTAGAAGAAAATGAAATAATTTATTGTAAGAAAAATTATATGACAATCTGAAATCAGATAAGTTTAAGCGTAACTTTTTCCACGTGAATATTTTAAAATAATCTACACGATTGAAATTTGTAATAAATAAACGATGACATTAGTTAAATTTTAAATTAAATAATTACCTTTGTTGTATTTTGAAGATTGACAAAAAATTTGAATGCCAAACCTTTTGTTTCAATTTTAATTAAGGTGGGTTTCTTTAATTATGACGCTTTCAACGATTTTCTTGACAGTTAATAATACAAAAAAGAAGTAGATGGCAGTAATAATTGCCACTTCCGGAATATTTGCAACAAAAAAAAAAAAAAACAGGTCGTACAAAATAAAATTATATTTTTTCCTTTCCCGTTGTAAAGTAAAAAAAAAAAATATTTTCTAATTGGAAATTTGAAAAAAAATTTAAAATTAATGAGATTAAAAAACTTTTAACATCCTAGAAAAAATCACGGTTTTAGAAAATACCTTTAAAAAAATTATTTCAAAAGAAAAATGAGGTTATGAATGTAATAAAGAATATAAAAAAAAGGTATAAAAAGAAATCGTTATAGAAATATAAACACTTTTAATGATTAATGTTAATGAAAAGGTATAATTTTAAAATATTTCAATAAAAGTTAATTTTTTTTTACATCTCAAAAAAAAAAGGTTTTTTAAATGAGGGTCGATATTAAGGATTTGCTAATATTTAAAATAATAAAAAATATTTTTAAACCTACTTTATTTTTAAATAACAAAACTTGCTCATTTGGATGAAATAAAAGCCTAGCAAGTAGTGTTTAATCAAAAAAAATTTCCACCATTTTACACAAATAATTGTAATAATAATAATAATAATTTATAAGATGTAAAAAAGACTGCTGTATATTGTAAATTATCTTTTCAAAATATTGTTTAAATTATCTTGTAATTCCCTTTCCTTTCTTGCTTGTGTTTGTACAATGAAAAAGTAATAATTACTTAATACACTCTAGTTTTGTTTGTTACATTATCAGTCACACATTTATATTAATTATCCAGAAAATGAGCCAATAAAATCTGTAACAATTTTCTTAAGTTTAGCATCTACGGCCTCTGAAATTTTATTTTCCTTTGCAATGGTATCCAGTAAATCCTTGTGAGAAGATCTAAATAAAAACATAAGAAATTATTAAGCAAAATCAACAATTTTTAATAAATCAACATGAAAACTCAATAATTTTTTTTAATAGTACTTGCACACTTACTTTACGTGGGCCAAAAATTCTTTTTCAAAAGCAGTAATTTTTGAGGGGTCAAGTTTGTCAAGGTGACCTCTGACACCGCAGTAAATAACTGCAACTTGTTCTTCAATAGCCATAGGAACTAAAAGGAAAATAATAAGAAAATGAATATTTAAACAAGCTGACACGAGATTAACAATTTTTTTGTTTTAATGCATACCGTATTGTCCTTGTTTAAGCAATTCAGTAAGACGAACACCTCGATTCAATAGTTGTTGTGTAGCAGCGTCCAAGTCAGAACCGAATTGGGCAAAGGCAGCTACTTCACGATATTGAGCCAATTCAAGCTTCATTGATCCAGCCACCTAAACAAAAAAAAAAAAAAAAAGAAAAAATTTATTTCATTTCAATAATAGTTAGGAACTGAGTAAAATTTAGATAATAAAATAAATGTCTGACCTGTTTCATGGCTTTGGTTTGGGCAGCAGAACCTACTCGAGATACGGATAAACCTACGTTAATAGCAGGTCGAATACCCTTATAAAACAATTCGGTTTCCAAGAAAATTTGACCGTCAGTGATGGAAATTACATTAGTTGGAATGTAAGCAGACACATCACCAGCCTAAAAATTTTTAAAACAATATGTATAAAAGTTTTAAGAGGTTTAAAAATTACAATAATTTTAAAAATACTTACTTGGGTTTCAATTACTGGAAGGGCCGTTAATGAACCGCCTCCGTGAGCTTCACTCATTTTGGCTGCTCTTTCCAATAAACGAGAGTGAAGGTAAAATACATCTCCAGGATAGGCTTCTCTACCGGGAGGTCGTCGAAGCAACAGGGACATCTATAAAGTAAATAACTCTTTAATAAAGCACGGCATAAAGAAATTTTTTTTTTTTTAATAACTATTAGATGAGAGAACTATATATCATATAACTATTTTAAACTTACCAGTATTCAGGAAATAAAAAGTTAGAAAGTTAAGTAGTTTACTTAAGAAAAATTATTATTCTTTACCTGACGGTAAGCTACGGCTTGTTTTGATAAATCGTCATATATAATAAGAGCGTGTCTTCCACTATCCCTGAAGAATTCACCCATGGCACATCCTGAGTATGGAGCTAAATATTGCAAAGGTGCTGCATCAGATGCAGTAGCTGATACAATAATTGTGTAATTCATTGAACCACTGTCAGTAAGACGTTTTACAATCTGAGCAACAGTCGATCTTTTTTGACCGATTGCAACATAAATACAGTACAATTTTTTTTTCTCATCTCCTCCTGCGTTGAAACGCTGCTGATTGATAATTGTATCAATTGCAAGAGCAGTTTTACTGAAAAATGAATATTTTAAACATACCTCATTTATTCCTCCAGGTTTTCTGATGGCGAAACAGAGATCAGGTAAACAAAGGAAGGTAAGAGAAAAAGCAAGAGGCAAGGTTTTCATTAAAGAATTTAGAGGAAACAGTATGAAATACCTGTCTATAAGCAACTGCCTGTTTAGAAAGGTCATCAAATATTATAAGTGCATGCTTTTTATTATCACGAAAATATTCTCCTACAGCACAACCTGTATATGGGGCTAAATATTGTAGAGGAGCTGAATCTGAAGCTGTTGCAGATACAATAACTGTATATTTATCAGCACCACTATCAGTTAATCTTTTAACTATTTGAGCAACAGTAGATCTTTTTTGACCAATTGCAACATATATACAATATAATTTTAGATTTTCATCTTTCCCATCATTAAAACGTTTCTGGTTTATAATGGCATCAATAGCCACAGAGGTTTTACTAAAAAGGAATAAAGGAAAAGGTTTAGGTTAGGTAAAGGGTGTATTTTATAGAAATTAAGGCATAAATAGAATTTAAATTACAATTTAAAAAAAATAATGAAATTTAAAAAAATAAATTAAGCAACTTACCCTGTCTGTCTGTCACCAATTATAAGTTCTCTTTGACCTCTGCCAATAGGTACTAATGAATCCACAGCCTTGATACCAGTTTGCATAGGTTCTTTAACAGAAACTCTGGGAATAATACCAGGGGCTTTTATACCCACTCTAGCTCTGGCCTTAGTATTGATAGCTCCTTTTCCGTCAATAGCATTACCCAAAGCATCAACAACTCTGCCCAATAAAGCTTCTCCTACTGGTACATCAACAATAGCTCCAGTACGTTTCACAATGTCTCCTTCTTTGATAAGTTTGTCATTTCCAAAAACTACCACTCCTACGTTATCAGGTTCTAAATTCAATGCCATACCCTATGATAAAATTTTAAAGTAATATTTAAATTAAATTTAAAATTTAGTAAAAAAAAAAAAAAAAGAGGTAAAATTCTCACCTTGAGGCCAGATGAAAATTCCACCATCTCATCGGCCTGAATATTGTTAAGACCGTAAACACGAGCAATACCATCTCCAATACTGACTACTCTGCCGGTTTCTTCCAAATCAACTTTAGTAGATGCTCCTAAAATTTTTTCTTCAAGAATAGATGAAATTTCTGCGGCTCTTCTGCTGCATGAAATATGGAGTTTTCTGTTACCAACTTGAATTGCAGGAATTGATACATTAGACACCTGTAGCAGAATTAATTTAAAAAATAATTATAACTTTACATTAATAACTAATGTTTCAATTAAGAAGAAATAGAATTTAAATTTATTATCAAAATGGTTTCGTGGTAAGCTTGATGTTGGTATTAGAGCGCACCACATTAAGGAAAAATCAATTATAATTTTCAAACATTTTATATCTATAACAAAAAAAAATTACCTGTGAAAAAGTTAATGGCAAAGTTTTTGCCAAAGATGTGGCAAAACGTAATGATAATAAAGACATTATTAATGTCTGTGTGCCTGGGCAATGATACTAGAACAGACGAGAAGAAATAATACCCACAATTCTCTTCTGCTGAAAAAATTTTAGCACCGGAACTTACGGAAACAATAAAAAAATTTTTTTATAAATTTTTTTTTTTTGCTTAAAAAAGAATAAGTATATAATCAAAAATAAATTGTTTCTATAATTTTTTGAATTATTTAATTAATTATTATTTATAAAATTTATTTTAAATTATTTATATTATGTAAGAAAAAGCTTTTATTTTGCCTCAAGTATTTAGAGGAAATTGTAGGTCATGTGATTATTCCCTCTATTTTAAATATTATACGTAATTTTTAAATGTTTAGGAAAAAAAAAATGAACCTATTTATAAGTACGTAAATTTTTTTTAAAAATTATTTATCTTATATCTGAATGTTTTAATATGAAAATTATCTTGGAATTTACCACAGCTAAATTTCTAACATTCATTTAAATAAAGTGGTAGCCTTATTAAAACTTGCTTATAGCAAATATAAAACTTTTAATTTGTAAGTATAATAATTTAAAAATACCAATTTTTGTGTGCAAAAATCGTAAAATAGAAAAGGTAAAAAAACTGTTTAAATTTTAAAAACTTAAATTTATTTATCTTATAAAAGAGACGTACAGAAGAAATTTATTATTTTTAACGGAGCAATTTGAAGTCTATTTAAAAACCGTTTTAATTCTTTCAATGTAAGAACTGGAAAAAGATGTATAAATTTGACTGATTCATCCTAAACGGAAATTCATATTTTGTGAGGGTTTAAAATATTTTTCAACAGAAAAAATGAATTTTTGTCCGTTTGCAAGGAATAAATAAAGACTTATAAAATAACTTATTTTTATGAAGAAAAGTACTTATAAAAAACCTTAGCATAATTCTTAGATGATTTTTTTTAGTGAAAATTTTTATGTTAGAAATGACGCAAGAAGCCATTCTTCTTAATGATTATGTCATTAGTACAGAATTATTAAAAAAAATATATTTTACTGCCCACTTTGTGCTGCTGCTTGTGCAGCTTTTTTCTTAGCTTCTTCTTCGGCCTGCTCTTTTTCATAAGCACTTATTAAAGCTTCTACTTCTTTTGCAGGTAAAATTCTTATTTCTGTCTTTTTAGAAGATTCATTGTGCACTAATGTCGCCATTTCTACTTTTTCAGGAGTTAGTTTTGCCATGTCTAAAGTTTTACTTAATACTTTAATTGCAAGGGCTTGAGCATCCTTTAGAGTAGTTTCATTTTCTTTATATTCTTGTTTTAAATTTGATACTGCAGCCTGAAAAAATTGAAAATTTAATAATTATTCTGATAAAACTGTTTAACGAAAATTTTTAACTTGAAAAACTATGGCATTTTTATTTTTCTTACAGCACTGTTATTTCCTATGCAGGTAGCTTTCCAACCTCCATAGTTACCACTAGGATCTGATTGATATAATTGATAACCATAATACTTGTCCCATCCCATGTACAGTATAGAAACACCAAAAGGTCTTTTTCCACCATATTGTGTGTAGGCCTGTTTTACGTCACAAAGCCAAGATACCAACTGTTCACATGGGATTGATTCTCCATACTGCAGCAGATATCTCTGGGCTATCATTCTCAATTCTCCAGTTAAAACATTAGCATCTGATGTGATTCCAGCCACACTACAAACCATATTTCTAAAATCAAAAAAAAAAAAAAAACAACATGTTAACTATCTTGTATAAATTTTAACAAAAGTAAAAATTATGAATAAATCTGTAATTTTTTGTAATTCAAATTTAAAAAAAAAGAAATCTAATAAAATGTATTTTTTAAAATCAAATCAGAGTAAAGTGAACTGTAATTGGTAGAATAAACTCACTCATTCAACTGATAAATTTTTTCAGAGAAAACTACTTCATCAAGTAATTTATTAATATTCCTTTTTTCTGCAGCCAGTAATATACCATCCTTAGCTAAAATACCTAAACAAGTTCCTGCATGACTAATGGCTTCCATAGCATATTCCACCTGATACAATCTACCCTCAGGAGAAAATATAGTAGTTCTGGTATCATAACGTCGAGCCTACAGTAAAAAATTTTGATAGTTAAAAAGAAAATATAACGATAACGTACATATTATTTGTTTAATTTTAAATCAATAAGTTATTATTACAGTTTTAAATTGTTCAAAATAATAATTTGAAAAAATTAATATATTTGTAAACATTTACTATTTTTTTCTTTGAAGGTTAGAGTCGGCATTTTAATATTAAAAAATTACTATTAAATAATAACTGTTTATAATTAATAAATAAGGTCTAAAATTTATTTTAAAAGTCAAAAACTTACCATAACGGATAAAATGAACTAAATTGAAATAATTTAAGTGTTCAATGGGATGACAAACAATATTTCAACGTTGTCTTTTATAGAACTTGAAATTCACGAAACATTAAAGAATTAAAAAGTCATAGAGTAACAAAAGTATTTTTGCTTATCATTATTGTGTACTTGTCACTAATTTTAAAATTACTAATTTTTTTTTTTACTGATATTTGATAAAATTTATTTATTTAATAAATTTGTTTCTTTAAATTATTATTTATTTGAATTTACTATTCGGAATTAAAATAATTTAAAAAATATACATTTCATTAATGCTAAGTTAATAATTAAACTTAATGGCGAATTGTAAGTTTAATAGCCTTAATATTCTAGAAAATAATTCATTAGAAAAATACATTGAATCAACTGAAATATTAATAAGAATAGCTAATAATGTTTTAAAAGAGCCATTAAACCCTAAATTTAGATCTATATCATTTAGCAGTAATACTTTTACAAAAAAGTTACTGCCAGCTAATGGAGCCGTTGAATGTTTGCAAGAAATGGGTTTTCAGAAGGTAAAATTGTAATTATTATTAGTTAATTTTTTTTTTTTTTTTGGGAAAAATATTCATTTTGAAAAATTAAAAAATTATTTTTAGGATAAAGATAATTTAGTACTTAATCATCAAACATCTTTAGATTCAATTAAATACATTCATGATGAGCTAATCAAAAGACGAGAACAAAAAATCGTAACCAAAAACTCTGATAAAAGCACAGAAAATAAACACAAAGAAGAAAAATTTGATAAAATTTCAAAAATAGAAAAAGATTTAATTGCCTTGCAAAATCAAACTTCTAATTCATATCTAAAAAAAATTTTATTTTGGTGTTTTCGAATTTTAAAATATGAAAACCATAGTTTTAAAAAAAAAGCTTTAAGCTTGATTCCAATTACAGAATTAAATTTACAAGTTATGAAAAATGTAAGAAATATTCAAAAAGAACATAAAAAAAATCAAACTGATGACCAAAATATTGATTGTCAGGAATTATTACTTAGAGAGTTATGTAATTGGTTTAATAATGAATTTTTTACATGGGTTGATACTCCTCAGTGTTCTTATTGTGGTTTTATTGAAACAGTATACGAAGGAACAAGTTATGAAGTTATACCAGGAGCTGACAGAGTTGAAGTAAATATTTTTAAAAAATGTCATTTTTTTTATGTTACTGAAATTAAAGTACTGACTATTTTTATTGTTATTTTCAGAAATATAAATGCCACAAATGCAATGAAATCAATTTATTTCCTAGGTTTAACGATCCGTGGAAGCTTTTAGAAACGAGAAAAGGAAGATGTGGAGAATGGGCTAATAGCTTTTGTTCTTTTTGTAGAGCTTTAGGTTGGGATTCACGATTAGTTTTCGATGAAACTGATCATGTTTGGGTTGAAGTTTATTCCATGACTCAATTAAGATGGATACATTGTGATCCTTGCGAAAATGTAGTCGATACTCCTTTGATGTATGAATGTGGTTGGAAAAAAAAACTATCTTATGTAATAGCATACTCCATAGATGACATACAAGATGTCACTTGGAGATATTCATCTAATCATGCTAAAGTTTTAAAGAACAGAAATAAATGTTCTGAAGACGCTTTAGTTAATTTTATTATTAAAATAAGAAATACTTTGTTGAATCATGTATCGACGTCTAGAAAAAATTATGTACTCAAAAGGTGTAGATTTTTTTTTTTTTAATTATTTAAATCATAATAAAAATTACATTGTTTAAAAATGTAAAAAAATTTTTTTCTTTTTTAATTTTAGAACAGCTTTAGAATTAGTGGAATTAATGAAAGAAAATACTGCCAGTGAGTCTGAAGAAAAAGGTAGAATATCTGGTTCGTTAAATTGGAGACTTTCTAGAGGGGAAACATCAAATGATGAATTAAATTTTAAACCTTTTGTATGGAAAATTGATGAGAAGGATAAAGAAAATGGAAAATTTGAATTAGTTTACATTACTTCAAAGGATATTTACATTAAGCATTCCGAAGAGGTGTTAAAAACATGGAAATCCGGAGTTTATAAATTAAACTCTGTATTTAAAAAAGATGAGAAAAATTGGAAAATGAGTTATCTTGCTCATTTAGGTCGGTTATTAATTTTTATACAATAAAATCAAGTTTTTTCTGTATATAATAATAATTTTCATTACAATTTATTTTAGAGGGAACTGAAAAAGGTACGGTATCCTGGAAATTTGAAACCGGAGAGGATTATTCAATAGGTAACATTAATTTAAAATTAGTGAGTCAGATTTACGAAAAGGGAATTGTTGTTAGTAAATTACAAACCGATACTACGAGTGTCATTATTCCAAATGGTACGAATTAATAAATTTTTATTAGTGGAATGAATAAGTTTTTAAAAATCTAAATTTATTTCAATTTTTTTTTTTAAAAATAATTTCAGATTCGAAAATGTTATCTACCGATGCCTTTTCTGGTTGTAAATCAGTCGAATTAATCGTAGAATTATGCGGAGTGAATTTCTGGCAACATGCACAAATATTAAGGCAATCATTCTTTGCCGAAGACTCAACACTCCATATTGTTATTTCATTAATTAAAAATTAAATATTTTTTAAACGCGTAATATTAAAATAATTTGAAAAAATTGTTATTTGCATTTTTTCAATAATTCAATACATATGTTATTTCGTATTTATTAAAATAAAATAAAAGCAAAAAAAAAATTAAAATTATTTTATTTTATTTTTTTTTTTTTATCAAAAACGATTTTAATATTTATTAAAAAATTTTATATTATTATAGATATGAATTTACTGTATTTAACAACAACTAAATAATTTTTTATATAACATTTTTTTACATATAACTTTTTTTTACAAAAAAAAAAAAACAAAATAAGTAAAAATAAAATAAAATTATTTGAGTATACATATAAAATTTTAAATATAAATAAAGAATTTTTTTTTTTTTTTAATTAAAATTTATTACCACACAAAAAAGTATGAGTAGATAAATTTACTGTCTTTGGTAATATATAAATATATATATATATATATATATATTAAGTGTAAAAAAAAAAAAAAAAAAAATCGTTGTTTTTTCTTAGTAATTAATGGTATTATTATTATTTTCTTTTTAATTATTTGACTTTATCTCTCCGAATCAACTAAAGTAATGATATGTGCCACAATTTAAAAAAAAATTGGAAGTCCTACGAAGTTTTGTACTGAACCACATTTGAAAATCATAAATCTACAGAAGGGGGGGGAAAAAAAAAAAAGAATAAAAATTTTAGTTTTCATCTCAAATATCACATTTTTATCAAATTAATCGGGTATCAATGTTGGTACCAGCGGAAATCAATGACGTTGATAGTAGGCTATCCTTGATTTAAACCGGGACCGTGTAATTCAATGAAACTTTCTAATGATTTAGGAACTTGTCCCTGATATGCCAAATCATAATTTTTGACTACTCTAGCAGCCATACACTTTAAACTAATTTTAGATTGAGTTTGTAAAATTATTGAAGCTACGCCTGAAACAAAAAATTTTTTTTAATAATAAAATTCTTTTGTAAATATTTTAACAAGGGTTAAAAGAAAATTAGTTACCGGTCGTGGCAGCGTCAAAAGGTGTTTTTCCAGAAGAGTTTACTGTATCCATATGCGCTCCCGCCTCTATTAAACGTATAATAATCGAGTGCAACGTCATAAAATCGCTGCATAACAAAAAATATATTAGTGTGAATTCTTGTATTAGAAAAATCTTTGCCATCGTTACGCTCTTTAAATCAAAGTTTTCAATTTATAATATTATGTCATTGAAAGCGAAAATAATTATTTTTTACTCGAGTAAAAACAAAATTGTGTTTTACCTAACTGGCTTTTGGTAACTGACAATTATATGTAATGGTGTGTTTCTTTCATTATCCATTGAATTAACATCGGCACCGCAGCGCATAAGTAAACGGGCCACGTCCGCACAAGGAAACTTACATACATGATTTGTGTGAAAATCATCCACGGGAGTTTGAAAATTCACAGAAAGATGAAGAAGGGATTGCCCCTCACGAGTCGTTACGTTCAACTTGTTTAACTTGTATAACAATTGATGTATTTCAAATTTTTCTAATTTGCTTATATTTTTTTTCATTAATTTAGTCACTATTACGAGAATATATAAAACGGAGTATATATTGTTTTCCATATCCTCCTGAAATTTAATAATTTGTATCAAAATTCCTTTTATAATGGTTTTTTTGATTTTAACCCTCATTTTTATTTAATTAAAATAAAATTTAAAATTTAAAAAAAAAAAAATTACCATCATATCTTCATTGTAATTTTTAGGATTTGAATTTTTAACTTTTTCTTGATTTCTTTCTAATTCTGTAACGGCGGCTGCCAAAACTGATTTAACGTAATTAAATGAAATACCGACACCGGCGTGAAGCATTTGTGAAAAAACCTGAAAGATAATAATTGAGTATTTTTTTTTTTTTTTTAAATTAACGTCAAACGGGGTTAATTATTAATAAAACCTAAAACAAACCTGAGCAAACCTAAGTAAATCTTTTGTTACGGTAACTTGATTCAATTGTTTAAGATTCAAAGCGTGAAACCACAATTCGATACATCTATCAAATCTGGCATCATCGGCAAATACGGCTCCCCTAAATATTACAGGATTGGGAATTTCCGGATTAAGTCGTCCAAGTATTCTTTCCCATATTGTCAATGATTCCATGTGGAGAGCGTTTTGATTTCTTTTTATGGCTTCTAAATCTTGAAGAGTTTGACATTCTATACAGTTTTCGTAAGCTGGAATCGGTGGACATCTAGGCTTTCGAATAATATCATTCGGATCACTGTACCTTTAAGAAAAAAAAAAGAAAATTTTTTCTCAATACTATCAAAATAAAAGCTTTTAAATTAATCCCATTGTAATCTTTACCTCATTTCCATAGCAATGTGAAGATAAAAATATGCTTTTTGCAGACAATAATTATCTTTATCATTTGCGAATGATGCTCCTAAAAGTTCTAAAGCTTCTATTTTTTCCTGTTTTGTAATGTTTGGAAGAGATATTAAATATTCTACAACTTCAGCCTTGGTAGCAACCGCGGCAGCGGTTAATGGAGTCATATCTGAAAATCAAAAAAATTCATGAAAAGCATCAATACCTGAAAATTTGAAATGAGATCAAAAAGCTTTTAATACCATTTTTATTCTTAACGAATTCGGCTCCGTATTTTAAAATTTCTTTTACTATGGCAGTATGACCACATTCGGCAGCAAAATGAAGTGCTGTAGCACCGCACTTGGCTTTTTCATTGGGATCAGCTCCTTTTTCTAATAAAAAAT